CCTTGAGATTGTGGGGAGGCCAAGTCTCTGACTTAAGACCTCCAGGCTCTGTGGACTCTGTTGGACACGTAGCCAGCTCCCAACAATTTCTTGGTTCAGGGGGTCTTTACAAAACAGGTTCAGCTAGAGGGCACACAGTGACTTTCCCAATCATCAATTATGGCTATAAACAAGTCAGCACAGTAATTTACCAATCATCAATTATGGGGTTATAAACATGCCAGCAATGTTGAATTACTTTATTTATTTTTTTTATTTTTTTATTTTTTTTTTGGGTATGTGCCCCTAGCGGGAACCAAACCCAGCTCTCTCTGGACCGCAGGCCAATGCTCTAACCGCTGAGCAAAACTGCCCATTGTTTTTGTGCATCTAGGTTAACACACTTACTATCCCTGCTGTGCTTTCTCCAATCTTTCTTACATACCGTCCTTAATTTCAAGTGCATGAAACTGTTATTCTCAGGAACATTTAAGACCTTGCTCCCAAACATAGGTCATTGTTTGGCTCAAATATACTCTTATTTAAATTCTCTACAGGTTTGGACATCTCTTATGTCAACATTCTAATGAGTATCAATAAGTAAATGCAATAAATTAGATCATTTAATATAGTGCTTACTACTCTAAAGAAGAAGAAATGGCAATGGGATAAACTATTTGAAGGAAAATGAGAAAGACTTAACCACACAGGATGGTCCTTTCTGAGGAGGAAATATTCATTTGGTTTTTCCCAGGAAGACAATCCTTGGAATAACTGGAGGAAGATTGCCCCAAATGGGGGAAACATACGGCCCAAAGGTCCATACAAAGGAGAGTGATATAGTTTGTGAAAAGAAAGAAGGCCAGTATGTCTGGGATATAGGGGGAATGGGAGAAATAAGTTTAGAGAGGTAGGCAGGTGTAGAATCAGATAAGCCAAGACAAAAAGTTTACATTTTATTCTAAATGCAATGGCTACCTATTTTAAGCTTAGGAAGTAATATGATATGATTTACATTTTTTAAAGGTCACTTTGGTTGCTCTTTGGATATTGGACTGTACAGAGGTTCCACAGTTTATTAAAGGAACAAGTCCATTGGTTGGAATTAGAGGAATTTCATTAAAAAATAGCTTTTAGCCCTGGCCGGTTTGGCTCAGCAGTTAGAGAGTCGGCCTGCGGTCCGGAGAGACCCAGGTTCGGTTCCCGCTAAGGGCACGTACTTCGGTTGCAGTTTGTCCCCAGCCCTGGTTGGTCGTGCGGGTGGCAGCCACTCGATGTGTCCCTTTCATGTCGATGTTTCTCTCTCTCTCTTCCTCTCTCTCCCTCCCACTCTTATCTGTACAAAAGATGGAAAAATGTCCTCGAGTGAGGATTTAAAAAAAAAAAAAAATAGCTTTTAATATTAGCAATCCTGACTGATAAGCACTATAATTTACAATGGTGTTAAGGCATTAAGCAAAAAGGAATGAAATTTTAAGGATGAATTTCAAGTGTCAACCAGAACATCCAGGGTAAAAGCATTCACCACCCTTGAGATCATTCATATGTCTGTTCAACAAATATGTATTGATGAAGAAACATTTTAATGGGAAAGCATGAACTTGAAACCTGAAGAACTCAGTTGAAATCTGGGCTATGACACTTAATAATTATGTGAGCCCTGGACCGTTCGGCTCAGTGGTTGGAGTGTCGGCCTGCAGACCAGAGAGTCCTGGGTTCAGTTCCCACTAGGGGCATGTACCAAAAAAAAAAAAGTTATGTGAAACCCTTAACCACTCAAATCATTTTTTCGCATAAGAGATCTCAAAGGGATCTTTTACTTAATTTATAATGTTTAAATTTTTTAAATCATCATAGTGTATCCCTTTATTAGTTCTGTAAGTAAGAATTGCATGTTTAATATAATGTATGTAAAGGTGATATTGCATGTTATAAATTATATAGTAAATATCTTAATATAAGTAATGAATAATTTAATCCATTGCTTTTCTTTTAATGAAATAGATTCATAGACAAAGACATAAAAAAATTAAAATATAAAGACTGAAATAGAGATTAACAAAACTAAAATTTTTCAAAAACTTATAAATTTGACATACTACTGCCAAATCTGTTCTCGATGGCAAAAACAAGGAACAACAAACCAAGGGGGAAGTAGGTCTTGATATATAACATGATAGTCTTGATATATAACATGATAAATGCCAATACATTTGAAAACTTAGACAAAGTGTGAAATTTCTGGAAAACCATCAATACCAAAGTCATGTATCAGCTACCCAATATTTTCCATGTCCATGTATTATTATTTACTTAATTTTTTTGCAATCAATTTGCTTTTTTCTTAAGAAATTAGTTTTCTTCTAAGTAAAAATATTTATGAATCACATTTGATGTGTTAGTTAAATTTTACAACATATAATTTACAACCATGAAAATAAAAATATGTACCACATTAAATTATTTTTATATGTTGTATACTTTATGAGTCTGGATTAAATGATCTCTGAGGTCCCTCCCAGACTAACATTCTGTCATTCTAGGTTAGTTTGCCTATTTCAGCATTTTAGTTGTTCACTAAAGAACATTGGATCAGTGCCATAAGGAACCTAACTATACTCTTGTAACCCATAAAGAATTATTTCATAAGATCTGTGTCATCACATTCTGCTTAAAATAAAAAATAGAGCCCTGGCCAGTTTGGCTCAGCGGTTAGAGAGTCGGCCTGCAGTCCAGGGAGACCCGGGTTCGGTTCCCACTAAGGGCACGTACCTCGGTTGCGATTCATCCCTGGCCCTGGTCGGGTCATGCAGGAGGCAGCCACTCAATGTTTCCCTTTCACGTCAATGTTTCTCTCTCTCTCCCCCTCCCACTCTATCTGAACAAAAGATGGAAAAATGTCCTTGGGTGAGGATAAAAAAAACAAACAAAAACAAACCCATATGAGGTAAGGAATAGTTTCAAAGATAAGGGTAATAAAAAAAAGGGCTTCTGAGTGGCATGTATAGAGCAGCTTGATTGTTCTACATGCAGAATCGACATCAAAGAGGAGGGTAATCATCCATAGAATATATTAGAGGAATGTTTTAAAAACATGAATAACGCCATAGACATAATCCTAAATAAAATGAACAAGGTAGACAGAAAAGAGAATTCAGTATTCTCAAATTTCAGTCAACCAAATTCAAAATAGTATGGTGAATGGCCCTTAGGCAGAGGATTAAAAAAGAAGATACTATCTAAGTAAGATATTAAAACTACAAAACTGAGTTTTCATTAAAAAAATAATTTTTGTTAAAATTTTCAGGATGTCGCCCTGGCCGGTTTGGCTCAGCGGTTAGAGCGTCAGCCTGTGGTCCAGAGGGACCCGGGTTCGGTTCCCGCTAAGAGCATGTACCTCAGTTGCGGTTTGTCCCCAGCCCTGGTTGGTCGTGCAGGTGGCAGCCACTCGATGTGTCCCTTTCACGTGGATGTTTCTCTCTCTCTGTTCCTCTCTCTCCCTCCCACTTTACCTGAACAAAAAATGGAAAAATGTCCTCAGGTGAGGATAAAAAAACAAAACAAAACAAACAAAATTTTCAGGATGTAATTTATTCAGCTCCATATTTTAGCAAGAAAAAAGATTATTCAGGTTATATTCATTTGCCTATTTAAACCAAAAGTAAACAACAAACTTTTACAGGTAACAAAAATTCCTTTTAAAAACTGTCCTACTTAACATTACTCTTAAAGTACGGGAATAAGACTTATCAATAATAAAATACTCCTACTTAGCAATGGGAGAAATTGTTTCTTTTTAGAATGAAGAAATTACTTTTCACAAATGTGATTTATTTTGGGTTCAGGTAGTTACCAAAGTTACTAAGGAGAATGAACTTAATAAGTTTTAGTGACTCATACTTTAATATGAAAAGTCTTCATCCAGAGAAGTATTTTTCAAATCATTAGTATGAAGTAGACTTCAAACAACTGATAGGCTGTTAAAATTTTTAGTTTTTAGGTTTTTTTTTTATCCTCACCTGAGGACATTTTTCCACTTTTGTTCAGATAGAGTGGGAGGAAGGGAGGGAGGGACGGGTGAGCGAGAGGGATAGCGAGTGTGAGAGAGAGAGAGAGAGAGAGAGAGAGAGAGAGAGAGAGAGAGAGAAACATCGATGTAAAAGGGGACACATTGAGTGGTCACCTCCCACACAACCCCAACTGGAGCAGGGGACAAACTGCAACTGAGGCACGTGCCCTTAGCGGGAACTGAACCCGGGTCTCTCTGGACCGTGGGCTGACACTGTAACTGCTGAGCAAACCAGCCAGAGCTAAAATTTTGTTTTTAAACTTACAAATTGAACATACTATAACTTCATATAAACATGTAATATACACATGACAACTTTTAGCTTTGTGAATTTAGATTTTACAGCACAAATGTACATTTTTCTTACATTTTAATGTCTTAAAATATTAATTCATGGAAAACCAGTAAGTATAAATATAAATCCATAAACTCAATTCCATGAATAAAAATTTCTGGTAGATACTCTGAGTCTTAAGTCATCAGGCTAAAAGTTACAGGCAAAGGAATATATATACCCCAGATTTTTATTTTTAATTTATATGGGTGAAACTGTTAATTGTAGGGTAATCTGACTAACCAAATTTTCTTCTCCATTTGAATTAACATTTGGTCTTAACTGTTTATTTTCACTTAAATTCTTAATGAGTATTGATTTTTTTGGTAAACCAATCTGCTTCCCAAAAGAATTGTGGCCATTTTAAAATTAGCCTTTTCAAATTTACATAACTTACAGTGCTTTTAGTCATTAAAATTCCATTAAAAATTAATCATAGTAGTTTGAGAACTATATCAAACTAATTGCAAAAGGTAGTAACATTGACAAAACAAGCAGTTAAGGTTAACAACAATCAAGTAATTCTTTGTAAATCAGATTTTAAAATTAGGAACAATGTTAATCTATTGAAAAAGAAAAGCCTATATATACTATGCTGTCAACAATTCAGCAACCACCTAACAACTTGTTATAGGTCCAGTGAAACTGATTAATGTGATGACATACATTCAAAGAAATATAAGAAAGCTGATTTAAAATAATAAAACTGGAAAATTGACAATAGGGAGTCTTTTGAGTAGTGCATGGTCACTTTGAAATTTTGTAGTATAAGGGGAATGATTTGGAATTTCAAAAGTAGTAATTCATTGCAAAGTGGAAATAAAAACAGCAAGTAAAATAAAATAACCCATCACTACTGTCCACTGCCAAGAATTCGATTGTAGAATTAGAATGTTATTCTAATAAAAAATCATCACTATCAGTTGTTTCCTCATATATGAATTGTAGTTCAAGTTGCAGGATACAGTAGAAATGCCTGTCTTTGAGAGGAAAAAACCCAAAAGTAGTTAGAAAATTTTCTTTTTAGGTACATGTTTTTCCAAAGAAGTTCATTATGCTAAAATTATAGACCAGCTACCTCAGCAATTTATAGTCACTCACATACTTATTTGAAAGCTGAATCAAAGCCAAGTTTTTATTGAAACAAGTGGTCAGTGTGATGTCACTTCAAGCTGCAGATTCATCAATAATACAAAGTTATATTTCTAAAACCTAGATTTAATATTTTAGTTTCGTTACAGTCTCATTTTTTTTTGGTACATGCCCCAAGCGGAAACCGAACCCGGGACTCTCTGGTCCGCAGGCCAATGCTCCAACTGCTGAGCCAAACCGGCCAGGGCTAGTCTCTTTAATTTGATTAGTGACACCTGATCAAAAGTAAAGCAATAAATTAAGAATTTTTAAAAACCATCAAAGTATTACTTATTTAAGGTTTGTTTCCTGAAAAATCAAATTCCTGGAGCTCAAAAATAGAATTAGCTCTTTTTGAAGGCAGCTGAATGGCTAGGTTAAGTAGTCATGAAAAATACCACAAGGACAAAGCTTAGATTTTTTTATGGAACATGGTGTAATGGAAACATTACTAGACTGGAAGCCAAATAACTTGAATTCACTCCTGTCTGCTCTAATGGTTTTGTGACTGTGACCTTGACCAAACAACCTAAGTTTCTATTTCTATAAGAAACTTAGAAAATCAGAGGGTTTAGATGAGATGGTTTCTAAGGTTCTTTTATAATTTAAATGATCTTAAGTCTTTTAAGAAACATTTGTATCAGACAGCCTTACCTGGAAAGTTATAATCAGATGGAATGGCAGTTTGTAAGAATACAGGTATGCATACGTGACAAAATAGTAGAGATACAAATGATTGGTTTTGAAAGTACTTTTTACTGCCAACACTCAAAATAGACTGAATTCCCATTATTTTTGAAGTGAGAAAATCATAGGTCATAAATTGGTTTCTTCAACTATATCAATATTCCTGAACAGCAATATTGTTAGCTGAAGTTTCTATTAAATTTGAAGCCAGTGATGCACACAATTTTATCTTCTTGATACTGGTATTTAAGAAGCTGCTTTTGAATTGTGATGATTGTGTCTCTCCTTCCTTCCTCCCAATTTATATGTTGAAGTCCTGGGCCCCAGTATCTCAAAATATGACCTTATTTGAAGATATGGTCTTACCCAGTTAAAAAGAAGTCCATAGGGTGAGCCCTAATTCAACATGATTGATGTTCTTATAAAAAGGGGAAATTTGGAGACAGATTGCATACAGGGAGAATACCTCTACAAGCCAAGGAAGGAGTAAGGCTCAAAACAGACCCTTCTCCCTCACAGACCTCAGAAGGAACAAACTATGGCAACATTTTGATTTTTGACTTCTAGTCTCTTGAAGTGAGAAAATAAATTTCTGTTGTTTAAGCCACTCAGTTTGTTGTAATTATTACAGGAGCCATAGGAACTAATATGGAAGCTAAGATTATTTTACCATTATCGAAAGTAATTTGTAGGTTATTATGCCAGCAACCCCTATATCCTAGATCTCCCTAATTCTGTATTGACACTTCAGTGGGATTTCTCAGTTAATAAATAATTTGACATCAGAAGTTTGGACATGACTTCCCAGTTGCATAATTGAAAATGTAATGCGAACAGGTTAGGAATTATGAAATATTTCTTTTCCACTGTCTAATCCCTTACCAGTTCCTCCTCACCCCCAGTGTTAAAGTATTAACATATACATATTACTTAATATATATAAGGGCTAAAATAAAGTGAGAATTTTAAAAGACTGCCAAGAAAACTGGATCTTTTCTTCCTCCTGTAACACTGACCTCCTAGTATTATTACAAGAATCACTCAGATGGAGAGCTTTAGGGACAATTACCGATGGAGAATGCAAAAGGAGGCCCTGAGTTCTTATTAATGGGAGTATTAGTGGACTTAATTGTATATTATGTTGCATTTTAGTTTTGGTACTGTAGTACTTTATGACTTCATACATGAAAAACTAAACTTGTCTTGAGTTTTAAAAAGTTAACAGCACCTATGGTTATGGAAGAAAAACTAGTCTAGTATTTTTAGTATGTTTCTTATCCATTCATAAAATCAGAGCACATGCAAAGAATGATAGACACAAAGAGTGGTTAAAACTATGAGCTACCATAAACTGAGAATATCATATTTTGGATACAATCATATACTGAAAAGTGTAGCAATGCCAAGAAAATTGGACAATTAAAAATCTTACTTGTTAAAAGCAATTCTCATAAATTCTTTTAAAATCATACATTTTAACATCTTCAATAAAGTTGTATTTATTATTTTACATTATGCAAGGTAAAGAGAATAATCAAGTTGTCTCATGGACTGGAATGTGACTTAATAATTCCCTTTCATTTCCAAACCTCATCAAGCAGTCACTACATTTATGAGGTAAGTCAGTCGAATGCTTGAAGTCTAGATGAATTTTAAGATCTTCAATTTGTCCTGTTGAATATTCACAGTATTGACATAAATAAATCCCTTCAGATAAATGTGAATTTAAATGTTTGCAATATTCTAGCATACTTGAAAAGCCTTTGCCACAGTCATCACAAACATGAGGAAAAATTTTAGTATGTTCAATAGCAACATGCCTGTTAACATTTGTATGAAGTCTACTCCGAAAACCACATACTTGACATACAAAAAAGTTTTTACATTTGTCAAAGGTAATTTTGCTCAAGAGGCTGTACTGTCCATGCTCTCCATTGTTATACTTGTCACTTAACTCTATTAATTTACATGCATGTTCATTTACCACATGGCTATGCAAGTCTTCTGGATCATTTGTTTCATGTTCACAGAACTGACACAAGTACTGTTCATCACAGCTATGCTCCTGGAAATGCAGGTAGAGCTCACTGCTTGAGGAGAACTGAACATCACACTGCTCACACCAATAAAGGTGATCACTAAAATGAGTGTCTGCAATGTGTTGGCTAAGGTTCTCAAAAATTACTGTCTTATAATCACAGTATTTACAAATGTAGGGATCCTCCTCATGCAGTTTGGCATGCTCGATCAGAAGCATGTTGGTAGAGAAACTTTCCTTGCACACTCGACACACATTTGAATCAGTACGCTTATGCTTCAGGATCATATGCTGCTTTAAATCAGAAAAGTATTTGCTGTTGAACTCGCAAAGTTCACATTTATAGAGGCCACTGCTATTAGCTCTCAGTAGAGGCCACTTCTGCTGGGCAGTCACATTCAGAGCTTGGCTCTTGTCAAGAATTTTGCAAAGTTTGGCTGGTGGCTCTTCATCAGTTTGGTCTTGGAGACTCTCAGAGGAATTGTTTTCTGTCTCTAAATCATAATCTTCAGAAATTGCATGCACTTCTGCAGCGATTGGAACATCTTCAGCAGTGTGAACTTCAATAGGACTCTCCTCTTGAGTTTGTTGGTTGACTGATTCAGGTGAGTCACACTCTTCATCACAAATTTCAATATCAGCAGATTTTTCTGCAAAATAAAACAAGCCTATTATCCACTGTTACTAAATAAGACCTATTACATAAATAACAGGCAAAAATTTATTTCATGCATTTCTTCATCGGTCTATAAAAATATGCAAATGCTATTACTATTTCCCTAACCTGTAGAAAAGGCAGTGTGGTCCAGAATTCTAAGTACGGGACTGGGAACCAGATAGTTCTGATTTCTGTTTCTGGCCTTGATTCCATCTGTAAATTTTGGCAAGTCATTTGATGTCTCTGTATCAGAATCATCATCTGTAAACAGAAATTTGGAAAAACACATTATTTACATCAAAGCATTAAATGTTAAATATTGTAACACAAAGCACCAAATAGTTTAAGTATAATTTTGCATTCCAACAGGAACTAAGGACTTAGATTTAGCCATAAAAAGATGTTATGTCTATCACTGACACAAAGAAAACCTGTCCAAATAAGCAAATGTTTTTGCTTCCATACCCCATTTGGACTAGAACACACTTTTTTTTTGGTGGTACATGTCCCTAGCGGGAACCGACCCCGGAACTCTGGTCTGCAGACCAATGCTCGACCGCTGAGCCAAACTGGCCAGGGCAGAACACACTTTTTAATGTTAATTAATGTTACCAAGTTTGAACAGCCTTTATTCCCTCAGCCCAGCCCTGGTGTTTTCAAGTTAGCAGGAAGAAACTGCAATATAGGTTAGAAGAGAACACTGGGCTTCAGCCTGATGTCATTGTTGTTTTTAATAGACATTATTTTTAAGAAGTTTAAGATTTACTGAAATAATTTTAGTAGTACAGAGAATTCCCATATATCCTGCAGTTTCTCTATTAACATTTTATTTATTTTAAAAAATTCTTTTCTTTATTGACTTGAGAGAGAGGAAGGGAGGAGAGAGAGACAAAAACATCAATGAGAGAACATCGACTGGCTACCTCCTGCATGCTCCCCATTGGGGATCAGGCCCACAGCCTGGGCATGTGCCCTGACTGGGAATTGAACCAGTGACAGAGCATGGGTCAATGCTCAATCACTGAGCCACACCGGCCGGGCAACATTTTATAATTATATGGTACATTTGTTACAATTAATGACCAATACCAATAAGTTTTTTTTTGTTTTTTTTAATCCTCACTCGAGGACATTTTTCGATATTTTGTTCAGATAGAGTGGGATGGAGAGAAAGAGAGAGAGAGAGAGAGAGAGAGAGAGAGAGAGACATCGACGTGAAAGCGACACATCGAGTGGTTACCACCCACACGACCCAACCAGGGCTGGGGACAAACGGCAACCAAGGTACGTGCCCTTAGCGGGAACCGAACCCGGGTCTCACCAGACCGCAGGCTGACGCTCTAACCACTGAGCCAAACCAGCCAGGGCCAATAAGTTTTTATTAACTAAAATCCACACTTCATCCAGATTTCCTTAGTTTTTAGCTAATGTCCTTTTTCTGTTCCAGGATCCCATGACATTTAGCTGTCAAGTCTCTCTAGGCTACTCTTAGCTGTGGCCATTTCTCAGACTTTCCTTGTTTTTGATGACCATAATTTTGAGGAGGACAGATCAGTTATTTCATAGGATACCCCACTATGAAAATTTGTCTGTTGTTTTTGCATAGTTTGACTGGGATTATGAGTTATTGGAAGCAGACCCCAGAGACAAACTACCATTTTATCACATCTTATCAAGGGTACATATGATTAAAATGATTTATTACTGTTAATGTTGAGCTTGATCACCTGGTTAAGGTAGTATTTATCAAGTTTCTCCTCTGTAAAGTTACTCTTTTACTTTCCATACTCTGTACTTTGGAAGGGGGTCACTATGTACAAGTCCACACTTAAAAAGTGAGGATTTATGCCCTGGTAGGTTTGGCTCAGTGGTTAGAGCGTCGGCCTAACCGGAATCACAGGTTTGATTCCGGTCAAGGGCACATAGCTTGGTTGTGGTTCAGTCCTGGATCTGGTCGGGATTGTGCAGGAGGCAACCAATCGATATGTATCTCTCACATCGATGTTTCTCTCTCTTCCCTCCCCCTGCATTCTATGTGAAGATAAATAGAAAAATATCCTCAGGTAAGGATTATTAAATAAATAAATACATAAGTGAGGATTTAGCCAGGCCAGTGTGGCCCAGTGGATTGAGCACCGTTCTATTGACTGAGAGGTCTTAAGTCCCAGTTCGATTCCCAGTCAGAGCACATATTCAGGTTGTGGGCTCGATCCCCAGTGAGGGGCATGCAGGAGGCAGCTGATCAATGTGTATCTCTCACATCGATGTTTCTCTCTCTCCCTCTCTCTCTAAAAAATCAGTAAAAAACATATTTTTTTAAAAAGTGAGGATTTATATTCCATCTCCTTGAGAGAAGAGTATCTACATAAATAATTTGGAATTCTTCTGTACAAGAGATTTGTTTCTTCCCATTTATTTATTCAATCATTTATTTATATCAGTATGGACTCATGCTTCAGCTTTGGCTCCTGTGCTCCTTTGGCACACCTGTAGTATTTCTTTGTGTGTGTGTGTGAGTTCTGAGTATTTCCTTATTTTCCAGAACTGTAAAATGCTTCAGGCTCATCCTGTATACTCCCTTTCCCAGAACTAGAATCAGCCATTTCTCCAAGAAGCCCTAGTTCTTTTCACTGGACAATGGTATTAGAAACCAAGATCCAGCCCTGGCCGGTTTGGCTCAGCGGTTAGAGCATTGGCCTGCGGTCCAGAGAGACCCGGGTTCGGTTCCTGCTAAGGGCACGTACCTTGGTTGCAGTTTGTCCCCAGCCCTGGTTGGTCATGCGGGTGGCAGCCACTCAATGTGTACCTTCCATGTCGATGTTTCTCTCTCTCTCTCTCTTCCTCTCTCTCCCTCCCACTCTATCTGAAAAAAAAATGGAAAAGTGTCCTCGGGTGAGGATAAAAAAAAAAAAAAGAGAGAGAAACCAAGATCCAGGTACTAGATATGCTCACTGCTATTGAGATGTCATTTCTTTCATGACCTCTCAGAATGGAACAAAAAAATATGTGTACACCACCAGATATATGTAGATATACCTATAAGTATTTCTGTAACATCTGGTCTGTATTAAGCCAAACATATGAGTTCATACTGATGTCTCTTGACTCCGTATGATTTTTAATAATTTATGTTTCTGTGTCTATAACAGAAGCTCAAGGGAACTGGCAATTTTAATGGTTGCAGAGCAAGGAAAAAAACAAACACAAGTTGTTATCATTCACTCAACACTCTAGAAAAGAGAAATCAGCCCTGGCCAGTTTGGCTCAGCAGTTAAAGCGTCGGCCTGCGGTCCAGAGAGACCCGGGTTCGGTTCCCGCTAAGGGCACGTACCTCGGTTGCAGTTTGTCCCTGGCTTTGGTTGGTTGTGCGGGTGGCAACCACTCGACGTGTCCCTTTCACATCGATGTTTCTCTCTCTCTCTCCCCCGTTTCCCCCCACTCTATCTGAGCAAAAATATGAAAAAATGTCCTCGAGTGAGGATAAAAAAAAAAAAAGAAAAGAGAAGTCAGCAGAATATGAAAGATTGAGAGAGACCAAATCCTTTACCCTCTGTTCTTTTCTTCCATTAACCCTCCAGACCGAAAGGCATAGCTGAGGGGAAGAACCACATGTAACACTATTCTTAACCTTTCACCATAAATATTCCCAACTTTGGGTCACTCCTGCTTTGCCACCAATTCCTACCTGAGTAAAATGGATTTAGGAAAATGTGATTTTTACTTATATATCTGAAATAATGTTAAAAATTAAAATCCACTTACTTGCTTTATTACAAAAAATTACTGTTTTCTTACATTTAAATACTTGCCAATTTTGAAATCATGACTCACCCACATTTTCAAATAAGCAAGAAATGATGATACAAGTAATTTAAAGAAAAATATTTTAGAAAACATTAGATATACCTTTGTTGTCAAAATATTTTAAGTCTGGTTGTCTCATAGAACAGACACTGTAACAATGATCAGAAAAAATTCCATTGAATCCATCTGCAATTCTGCTTATTCCAGAGGAATCTGAACATAAAACAAAATTTTAAAAATGTCAAGCACAGCAAACACATATACATATAGTGACAGCCACCCCTATATCCAACATAGATACATTTTTATATTATCTGTAATAAAGTAACAGTTCTCTCAATTCTGATAGCTTTTATTTCAGAGATTTCAGATCTGATATTAACATTGAGCTTTGAAAGAATCACAAATTACACAACATAAAAATATAATACTCTGAAGCACATAAAAATACATTTGCCTTACTGTCAGAATCCCACAAAATTAAAATATGCAATAAATGTGTTAATTCCAAAAAATCACTAAATTAACTCCAAAAAGATGTTCTAGGTAGTGCAAAGAAAGCATAATGCATAGGAAAAACAATCTGAGGACCAGTTAGGGTTTCTGAATACAATCATTTCAAGTCTTGTCTGGGAGGGGCCAGCAAGCAGTAAATGAGATTTAGTTTCCTTAGATATGAAGAATGTGTAGGTTGGGTGGACTAACAGGTATGCCTGAAACCATCCCAAGTACATGTATGTGAGGTACAGATGGCCACAAAAACCTATTCTTAACACTGCCAAGACAGCAGAGCTAACCTCAAATAAAGGATCTAAAATTGCACAATCAAAATGAAAGTTCACATTTCTGAAAGTAATAATAGGATAAAGATATTTTCCCCAATGTGATGCAAAAAATCTTCCAACAATGTTATTACTGTGCCTTAAGCTTGGGAAGCACACAGACAAATCTCAATTATGCTATGTAAGTATCCAACCTTGGATATTTAATTCTAAATATTTATAAATCCTGAAGTTGTAAGGATTATATAATGTCTATAAGTTCTGATATTACCTAGCACATGATAGACAAAGAAGAATTTATACTCAGAATTTATTTAAAAATTTCCCTTACTTAAAAATTGACCCAGGTAATTTAACTTTTATCCGATCATTATGAGAAAATACATCAAATTACAACTGCGTGGAAATGAATCTATGGCCCAACTTTAAAATAATTCACTACCTGAATAACGAGAAGGGTGCAAAGTCTTCCTTTTTCTTTTTTTAGGATATTCATTCATATCTTTTCAATCTAAAAAATGAAAAAATTTAACAAATGTCATAAATAACTATTGTTAATATTGTTATAAAAATTCCTTCTAGCCAAAGAGATTATTGGCAATAAGAAATGAGTGTGCCACCTAAAAATGTACTTCATAAGAGAAATGTTAAAAAAAAAAATGCCTGTTTATATTTTGAATTAATTTTTCTAATCAAGTTTTAAGGCAGGACACCAATTTGCTTTTTTTTTTTTCTAATTGAGTTTGAGAACTCTTTTTCAACTGTTGATATAATTGTGAGCACTAGATAATTACAGTAAGCCTTATGCTTCAATTATTTTTTTTTTTTATTATTTTTTTTTTTTTATCCTCACCCGAGGATATTTTTCCATTTTTTGTACAGATAGAGTGGGAGGGAGAGAGAGGAAGGGAGAGAGAGAGAGAAACATCGACGTGAAGGGACACATCGAGTGGCTGCCACCCGCACGACCAACCAGGGCCGGGGACAAACTGCAACCGAAGTACGTGCCCTTAGCGGGAACCGAACCCGGGTCTCTCCGGACCGCAGGCCGACGCTCTAACCGCTGAGCCAAACTGGCCAGGGCTCAATTATTATTTTTTTTTATAAAAAACCATATTTAGAATAAACTAGGTACATTAAAAATTTTTTTTTTCTTTAATGATTTGAGAGAGAGAAAGACAGAAACATCGATGAGAGAGGACACAGACTGGCGGCCTCCCTCATGCGCCCCGCTGGGGATTGGGCCACAACCTGGGCATGTGCCGACTGGGAACTGGCGGCCTCTTGGTGCATGGGTTGACAGTCAACCACTGAGCCACACCAGCCAGGCAAAACAGGTACATTTTTTACAACTGGGAAAATTTTGATAGTTTTCAAGCAAAAGGTAGATAGATATGACCCCTTAAAAATACATATTTTAACAAATTTGTACTGATTCCCTGGCTTTCAGGAAAAGCAGTCATCACAGAGAAGCTCAGAATATAATTTTCAAGAAAAGAATCCTTTTCTTACATATGAGATACCTTCAACATTCTATTGAGAACAAGACAGGTATGGCAGCAAACAATGTATAATTAAATTCTCATGGACTGTTATAAAATTGACTCATTCGTTTTACTACATTCCACTTACTTGGTATAATTCTTAATATGGAAGTGAGGGAAAATTAATTACAGGGAAGCTTTCACAGATGGTAAAAAGTGCCTGTAGGAAAAACATGACAGAAGTCAAAATGTAGTTCATTTCTGAGACTCAAGAATACAATAGTATCAAGATCTTTAATCAACTTGACAATTATACATAATTAATTCAAGTATAATATTCTTTTGAATGTACTGTATTAAGTACTTAAAATTGTATATACTGATAAATGTGAGTAAAAGTAAATGTCATATTTCTTTAAATAAACTTACCTTCTAAAGCTCTATCTTAACACCAAAATAGGAATAAAATTCTGCATTTATTCAGCCATAATGAAAGCAAACACCGAAAAACATACTTTTAACTATTTAAGTTTTTATAAATTATTTACCAATAGAAGAATAATAACAATTTATTCACTGAACACCAATTACATACCAAGCTGGGTCTTATCTTATTTAATCCTGTGATATGCAAAATCCACTACTCTCGCTCAAAATTATTATTTACCCCTTGTTGTTGATGTGGAAACTGAGGCACAGTAAACCCAGTAATAAGTGGTAGAGTTGGGAGTTGAACAAAGAACTAATCACTTTTAAAGCCCAAGCTTTGGAAACAAATATGGAGATAAGGTGATCACTCCCATTCAAGTAATAGATTAGTGTCAGAATCAGAACTACCTCTCCCATTTCAGATTAATATTCTTTCAACTGTAGCAGTGGGCAAGCAAGGAATGTCAGAAAAAGAGTTTTTTTTCTACCAGCTTCATAGTCTGCTTTTCTTATCAATAAGGTGATATACATAGCAGGTAGAACTTGCATCATTACTGAGACCATTTCATTTCTAATGGTAAGGAATTAAGGTATACATGTTTTTGCTTCTTCACTAAGTTCTGGGTCTATTACTACTATAGATGATGTCATCATATAGTAATAAGATAGTACTTTTTGGTTTATTGAGCACTTCCCTAATCCTTGTTTTATTTGATCTTCCCAACAATCCTGTGAGGTACATAGAGGAGCTGCTATCAAACCCACTCAATATTACTGATGAGGAAACAGACTTAGTAAAAGTCAAGCCAACTAAGTAGCAGAACCAGAGATGAAAACATGACTTCTGCCCTGGGCAGTTTAGCTCAGCAGTTAGAGCATCGACCCGCGGACCAGAGGGTCTGGAGATTGATTCCTGGGCAAGGGCATTTGATTTCCGGCCCCTCTCAGGGTCCTGCAGGAGACAACCAATCCATGTCTCTCTCACAAGGTCTGTCTCTGCTTCTGCTTCCCTCCCTCCCTTCCACTCTATCAAAAAAAAAAAAAAAAAAAAAAAAGATCAATGGAAAAATATCCTCAAATGAGGATTAACAAAAAGAAAAACAAAAAACAAACAAAAAAACCATGTCTTCTGATACCTGGATTTGGAACTGCTAATTGTGTGAGTAAATCTTCACTGCCAATCTCTGCTACCAGCAAGTTACATCTTGTTTCCAGTTCTTACTCAACCACCAGCTGGGAGGAGGGGAAGGGAATCACCCAAAGAAACTGACAACTATGAGATATATAGAAATGATTATCAATATATATAATGACTCATCTAACAAAACAAATAGCATTTCTTGAGCCCATCCCAATCACATGCATCCAAAAATCAATAAAAGAAAAGCTTGTTTTCATATTTATATAATAAATCAAAATTTCAAGACTTATTCCTAACACTTCTTTTGCACACTTCCAGAATTTATACAGCCTAAAGCTTTACATTTCATGTTCTAAATGCTCTACAGGTATTAGGGGGAAAAAAAAAACTGGCAGCTGAGCATGTTCAAGTACCTCTTTTTACTTCGGAATACACTTCAAATTCTTTCGAACATGAATAAGAGAAAAGAAAACCAAGCATGGCATTAAAATTAATGTTGCAAGCTGGTCTGGATTCAAACGGCCAGGTGAAAGAAATAGGATCACCTTAGTCAGAAAAAGGCTTGACTTCTACTTAGAGCTGAAAACTATCCAAACGCTTGGCAGACCTCCTCTCATTAAGATGGTAAAATGCCCACTCAAGCCCCAAAATGTTAACCATCCTTTATTTCAGCAATGTCTGCATATGCTTTTTGTAAGCATAACTACCCAGATGAAGAAGTCTGGCATTTACTTTGAGATGTCACTAGTCTCTTGTCTTATTTTTATACCAATTAGGAACATATTATTTACTTTACATGAGAGGCCTTTGAAAAAGGTGGTTTTATTTGATGTAAGTGCTTATTATGTATAGTGTGTTTCGTACATAGACATTCTTATTGTTGAAAAAAGAGACAGTTGGAAAGATGCTGACATGTATTTTGTAAGTTGCTTTTTTAAATTAATGTTTCTTGTGGCATTTGCTCACTAGTCCTCTCTTGGGGAAGATTCTGAATGAAACTCAGACGTAATACATGTCACTGCAGGAAAATTAGGAAAATGTTATTAAATTAATCAAATCACCTAGAATCTATTCACCCAGAAAAATCACTGTTAACATGTTGGTGTATAGACTTCTAAACATTTTCCTATGCTAAGGTATACATTAATTTACATTTTACATTTACAAAAATGAGACCTTTCCAACTGTCTTTTTCAACAATAAGAATGTCTATGTACAAAACAGACTATACATAATAGGCACTTGCATCAAATAAAACCACCTTTTTCAAAGGCCTTTCATGCAATGCAAATATTGTTTTTAACTGGTATAAAAATAAGACAAATTCTCTGGCTGGTTTGGCTCAGCAGAGCAGAGTATGGAACTGCCAAGGAATTGATTCCCCATCAAGGGCTAGTACCTGCGTTGCAGGTTCATCCCCGCCTGGACTGGGCCTCAGGAGGCAGCCAATGTATGTGTCTCTCTCCTCACCCCCCCCTCTTCCTCCCTCCCTTCCATTCTATCTAAAAAAATCAACGAAAAAATACCCTCGGGTGAGAACTAACAATAAAATATCCTTAAAAAGAATAAGACAAGCATTTACAATAAAAAGCTACACTAGTATAAAAATGTAGCCCCATTTAAAAATAAGTGTGTTTTCCAGATTTTAAAAGAATTTAAACACAAAATGTCGCAGGAGAGCTTGAATTAGAGCCCACTATATGCCCAACAGTGTCGGTCTTTGCTGAAGTACAAATCTTTAGCTCTTTACAGAAAACTGCTTTAAATTACTCGTGTCCCGCAGCTGTAGTGGAAAACAACACTCAAAAGGGGTGTACAGGCACCGTAAAGAGTGGCTTCGACTACTGGCTGGAGACCTGAGCGCCCGGACCGACGCCAGCTTGCTGCAGCGGCGGCGGCTCGAGGCGAGAGCAGCGGGATGCTGCGCCCGAGGGTTATTAGCAGGGCCAGCGTGGCACCGACGGGCATCCAGAGCCCGGGCGCCGCAGGAGATGCCCAGCCCCAGCCGCCTCCACCCCTGAGCCACGCGCGGCGCCGCCTGGGCCCGGCGGCTAGCGGGGACGCCCGAGGCCCGACACTAAAGGGCCTTAGAGGGAAAGCAGCAGGGACCGAGGGGAGCCGGGGTGGTGGCGTCTTCAACTGGGGGTGGAACTGCCTTCGGGATGGGGGAGGGGGCCGCCATCCCGCCATAAAGCGAGGGCAGCGTTTTGGTTTCAAGGACGCCATGGGTCTCTCCGCCCGCCCCGGTGCCCCGCAGCAGCCCCGCGCCAGGCCGGCCCGCCCTCCCTCACACTCACCAGTCCCCCGGGGCCCGCTGGGCCAGCCCAGGCGTAGCTCCGAGGCGGCGGCCGAGGCGCCAGAGCGCGGGCGGTGGGGCCGTGCGGCCAGCTGGCGAGCACAGGGAGGCGGGCGGCGCCACTGTGGCCCTCGGGCTCCCGGGCGCTCTGCCCCGCCGGCCCCGCTCCCTCCCGCGCGCCCTACACCCTGCCCGCCGGGCCCCGGGCCCAGGCTCAGTGGCCACACTCACCGCCTCGCTCCGCGCCTGCGCCGCGCACCTCTGGGGCCCGCCGGGAGGGCGGGGAGGTGACGAGGTGAGAGTGGGGGCAGGGGATCGGGCAGCGCGGCCTCGCCGCACACTCGGCTTGGGAGGGACCACCGGCCTCTAGCCCCGGGGGTGGCCCGGCGGCTCGCGCCCCCTGCCGGCACCTCTGCGCCGCCACAGGCCCCTTCCGCTCGGGGTACCGCCCCTCCCTAGCCGAGCCGGTGATTCCACCCCTAGAATGGCTCCAGGCGAGGCAGCCGAGGGAATCGCCCCTGCACTCCCCAGCGCTGCCGTCCCGGAAAAAGTGCGAGAAGCGCCTGGCGGCCACGGCACGTTCTCCACCAGCTCCCTCCGGGGGACGAGCGAGAACGACCCGCACGGGTTTGGTTGCCTAGGCATAGCCACTTCGACCCCCACGCGTCGCTGCAGACTGCAGGGGACCGCGAAGAGGGCAACCCCGCGTCCTGCTTTCCCTGGCGATGGTCCGAGAACCGCACGGGGCCGGAATGCTGTCCGAGGGGTAGCAGGGCGAAATTCTTGAAGACTGTGAGTCATTAGGCTCCAGCCGGGTTCCTTGACTCCGGAAATCTTGGTGGAATTAATGTGAAATTATAGGGATTGTATTAGATGATTTGGTTCCTTTACAGACGTTTAGTTTCTATGTGCAGATATAGAAAGGATTAAATTAAATAAACATAAACTTGTGGACGCGGTTTCAAAAGTGAATATTTCTGTCCAAGAGTGATCATATGTTTAATCTTTTCGAAAATGAGCTGAGGTGGTTAGTCCCAATTTACAAATCAGAAAAATGAGTTTATGAGGGGCTAGAGACTAGGTTTTACTCATTTTTTTTTGTAGCCTCAGCACCAGGTTTAAGTGATTGTTAAGTGGGTGCATGATTCCCGTGTGGTTTATCACGTGCTCAAGGTCACTTGGATAGTCAGGGCTGCAGTCTGTGTCTTTTATCCACGTCCACAGTACTTAACACATACTTACCAACCAACAGCTGGATAGTAATAATCACAGACTATCTGGAATCCCTTCAACTATCTACCAGGAGATAAAGCCTTATTTGAAAGATACTAGTTTGTGAGGCTCAACTTTTACGACCGTATAACTTCTATGCTCAGCCTAAATAAACGAATGTTTACGAATGCTGGCATGGCCTAACAAAGCACGAAGAGATTTAGCGGCATTTTATCTTGTATAGTTAGTACCTGGCACAGAATAGGGAATCCACACGTTTGTTGAATTTATGAAGAGCTGTATGTATGGCTCCCTCCTCTAGGCTGATTGGGCTGTTGCCCAATCTGACACAGTAGAAGCCACAAGGGGGTGTTATGGGACCGTTTTAAATTACTGTTTACTCATTGTAGCCTGTGCCAAACAAAACCTTTACATTTTAGGTTGAAGTTTTATTCCAAAACATACATTTCCTAGTGAGAGCAACACCCTCCCCCCCATATTACTTAAACAAACAAACCCACACTATTTGCACTTACCCAACAAAGTAAATAAGAAGAGCATCCCAATGTTTACATGTCATTTAACATAATTACAAATCAAAGGCAACTTGAGATTCGTTGATTGGCTGGAGTATATTTTCCAGTTTTTCATGTTTGCATCTTCCTAGTCCTCTCCTTACTCTTGGGGCTGGTGGCCTTGAGGATAAAGCCCTCAACTCTCAAGAGTACCAAGTTCTAGGGTTTGTTATATTCTATTATAACTTTGACTGAGGGGATATTGAATCATCATTTTTCCAACTTTTGACCACACTTTGTAGCGTAGTTTAGTTTTTTCCTGATTAGAAAAGGGATACATGGTTATTACATAATGGAGACAACAGAAATATATGAAGAACAAAAGAAAAATGTATCAATCCCACAACGTGGAGCTAACCATTGGTAACATTTTGCTCAATATCTTTCCCTTATTATTATTATTATTATTTTTGAATGTCACCTCCTCAGAGACACCTTTCTTTTTCAAAAAAAAAAAAAATTTTTTTTTTTTATCTTCACTCGAGGACATTTTTCCATTTTTAATTCAGATAGAGCAGGAGGGAGAGAGAGGAAGTGAGAGAGAGAGAAACATTGACATGAAAGGGACACATCGAGTGGCTGCCACCCGCAGGACCCAACCAGGGCAGGGGACAAACTGCAACCGAGGTAGAGGTACATGCCCTTAGCAGGAACAAAACCTGAACCTCTCTGGACTGCAGGCCGACACATTAACCGCTGAGCCAAACCAACCAGGGCTCTTTCCCTTATTTTAAAATCTATATCCATATAGAACTGTTTTTTTTTCTCCAAAATTATATTATTGTTTTATGTTATGTTATAATAGCTTCCCATTTTGTATAGCATGAACATTCCTCATGCTCTTAATGCTAATGGCACCTTGGAATTCCAATATACCTGACCATACAGTTAAACAGTGGACAATTAAGTTGTTTCCATCTTTGAAAAAGCTCTGCCAATTTGGTAGGTAAAATATAATATTTCATTTTAATTTGTATTTCTTGTTTTTTTGGAAACTTGACTATTTTCTTCTTTTTTTTTTTTTGGTACGTGCCCCTAGTG